CCCCCCCCCCCCCCCCAGCCTGATTCTGAGGTTGCAGAGGCCGGCCGCTGCCTGGAAGTATTCTTTGAAGGCTGGTTGAAGGAGATCTACCCAGGGAAACAGTTCGCCCAGCCGAGGCAAGAAGACTCAGACTCCGAGGAGGTGTCTAGTGAGAGTGGCTGTTCCACTCCCCAGGGCTTCCCGTGGCCCCACTACATGCAGGAGGGCATCCAACCCAAGAGGCGGCGGCGACACATGGTAAATAGTTGCTGCCAGCTGGCAGGCAGATGGGTGGGTGGGTGATTGGGCAGGCACGGGGCACCTGAGCAACATGTATAAGAGCAACCTAGAGTGAAGCTGGTGGCACAGGAGAGCGGTGACAGTGAACCCTCACTTCTACTCCCTTAGTCTAAAAGGAAGGCAGGGCAATGCGGGGCTCATCAACTCCAATTATCCCCGAGGTTCAAATTTCAGAGGTAGATGTACTTCCTCAGGGTCACTCAGTAAATTAACGGCAGAATCGAGGTCTGCTGACTCCCAGCTCAGTGCTGGTTATTCTAAACTGCGATGCCCATAAGAAGAGAAGTGTCTGGTCTCAGAGCCTGGTTTCAACTTGGGTGGGTCTCACCTTTGGGAGAAAGGAAGGGATCTTTTCAGGACCTTGGTGTGGAGAAGGAAGGAGAGGTGTTGCTTGCAACAAAGAGAGCTCCTCTGACCTTTTGGCTGGCCCGACCTGTGCAGACCTGAAATATCAATTCAAAACTATTTAATTCCACCAAAATGTACTGCCTGCCTACTGTGCGCCAGGGACTGACCAGCCTCCCCCAGTTGTTTGCGATACTTCGCACACAATGTTTAGTGGCTTCAGTGAGTTTTGCTGTTGCATTCCGAGGGTAGGAAAAAACACTTGGCTCTGGCGAATCCCAATCTGGACATTTATAGCCTTTTCACATGAATAAATCCCACATTTGTCCCTTCTAATCCCAAATTTATTTTTCTTTCAGGAGAATGAAAGAGCAAAAAGAATGTCTTTCCGCCTGGCCAACAGCATCTCCCAGGTGTAGATCTGGCAGGAGACAGAACTCTGGCAGATGGTGCCGCATCCTGTTGACCACTCCTCCCCACCTTTCAGCTCATTCTCTTCAGATTGTGGATGTGAGACAAGTCTTGTCGAGCTGGTGTAGTGCCCTTCTTTGCCATTTGCATCTTACAGCATTTATTTGGGAGCCATAGTGCATCTACTACAGAGAAGATTTCAGTAATAAACTGCAAAGAGGGAATATTCCCTATTACCAGATGTATAGGGTAACTTGACAAGACCAAGCCTGCTCAGGCTTGGGGGGACCTACCTTCCTTGGTGAGTCCTTGCTGCTGAGGAAAGCAAACTTTCCTCAGTGCAGGGCTCAGGAGCAGTGTATATATCTGAACTCCTCTTGGGCTCAAAAGAGGGTAAAGAAGGGAGAGAGGTTCTGACATATGGCAGGCCTGTGATCCCTGGTCCAGCACAGCCAAAGACTGTCACTGTTTGCCTTTGCTTGGCCTGCCGGGACAGAGGCACCAGCCCTGGGCAGGGTGATGGAGGCTTCTAGAGGCCAGAGGTCTCAATTGGTGCCTATTCGGGTTCTAACGGTTTTCAGGGTATTTGTTTTCCATGCCCCCTTCCTGATGTTGATAGGGGGCTGCTGTGCACGTGCTCTGGGGGGTATGGCATTCTTGATGGGGCTGGTGGCTGTGTAGGGACCACTTACATCTTTAGGTTCAGATTTCACTGAGCTTTAGAAGATGTCAACTTCAGAGCTAGCTCTCTGTGCTACTCACTTTGGGCTAAGAGCTCTTCTTTGGTGTCAGAACCTGCCTTCCTAGAGATGATTGTTGGTGGCTACCCCTTCATTATCTCCATTTTGAGGTTTGGATCCCAAGTTCTGCTTGGGAATCTGTGAGGCAGCTGCTTCAGGTACAGAGTTTCCTGGGCAAGGAGAGTGACCCACAACCAGCTCACTCCGTTGGGCCTCTCCTCTTGCTTAGAGATCCTAGTCCTCAACCTGTCCATGTTTACAGAGCCAAAGATCGGAAGTGAGTCCTCTGACTTGCCTGCCCTTGGGGCTGTCCATGGCCCAGAAACAGCCAAGTCTATACTGGCAGCTCTTTTTTTTTTTTTTTTTTTTTTTTTTTGGCAGTTGAAGAAGGCCAGAGTGACTGGCAGGAGCCAGACCTAAGCATTCATGGGGAAGTTCTGTCTAGGATGGAGAAGGGGAAAGCTGAGAGGCAAAAACCCAGTACCCTTCAGTGACCCTGAAACCACTTCAGGACTTGACTTCTCCTTGAAAGCAGAGAGAAGAGTTCTAGAAGCCACGAGAACAGGAACAGAGCTCCGAGCTGCATCTCAGATGGATCTTCATGGTTCATTCAGGGTGTTTGGGAGGAAGAGGCACAGGCAGATGCTGGGGGTCAGGCCACCTCGCCGGCAAAGGCTTGCTCAGGAAAGAACCTATTGCTGATGTTGTGGGGAGCTGTGGACCTGGTCCTTCAGTGGCCTAGAGACACAGCTCTCCTTGGTCCTGTCCTGGTTTAGTTAATTTCAGAGGGTCTTAGGTCATAGTTTTATTTTTACTAAGAGATGCAGTTTAAGGAAGTTCTTGTTTGTAGGGTCTTTGTTGACAGGAACATTTTGATCAGAGAAAACATTTCTTCTCTCCTTGTGAGTTGGTACTGCTCATTTCCTTCTCCACCCAGGCTGGAGGGTCATCTTCACCTCACAGCAAACCGTGCCCATTAACTTGCCATTCTTTCACCAGCACTTGCCAAGCTCTCCTAAGCAGGTGGGATTCCACTTCCTGTTTCCTAGTTTGGGGTAACTAAGTCTTGAATACTCCAGTAGCCAGGCAGTCTTTGGACTTAGCCCTCTGCTCTTTGAGGCTCACATAATTTCCTGGTTTGGGCTTTGGCCACTTCCCTTTCAATTTTTGAATCTTTTCCTCTGGTTGGCTTGGCAAGGTTCCCTCTGTAATTACCTCACTAATTTCTGTTCTTGGCAATTTTTCCTGTGTGTGGCCCACATTCCCACCTCCCCTGAGAGAGCTTCATGGTGCTTTGTGTTGGGCAGCCAGGTGAAGGCTGTGACTGGCTCAGACTTGATTTAAGATCCTTCCCAGGACCAGTTGGAGACCACAAATATGACACAGAAATGCCTGATTAGATGCTTTGCTTTCTGTCTATCAATGAAGCTTCCAGCTTGGGTATAGCATGATGGGCCCAGGGATCAGCCTGCTGGGCCAGGGGACCTCAGTATTGTAGTAGAGAGTCACACATTCCCTTCTTATTACAGATACTCTGCATGCTGAGATGCTCCCTTTAGACACCTGACCTGGGAAGGGCAAAAGGTAGGGTGCTCTTCCCTCCACGGGTTCAAGGCCCTGGCCCACCATCTCATCCCTGCACTGCTTACCTGAAAGCACTGTCCTCTCTCTGGCTTTTCCTGTGTGCTTATTACCAATGTTGTGAGTCATGGTTATGTTTTGTTTTTGCATGCAGAAAACAGATCATGACTTTTTAGAAAAACAATTTTTTAAAAAGCTACTAGCTGAGTGATTGACTTCAGTGGCTCTGCAAACATTTGAGCAAATTCTGCTTTTGACTTGGTTCTACAATGGCCCCATTTTGAAGTCAGTCACGTGCATTGGCTCTTGACAAAGTCAGGAATTGAAGGTACAGTGAATTCTGGATTCTTATGGTACAAAATGCCATCCTATAGAAGAATGTGGGCTTCTTGGGTGTGCTGAGAAACAGGAGAGTGGAGTGGCTTCAGTTGATGTGAAGGGGATTTTAGTGCAAACTGGTGCAGGATGAACTTTCAGAGCACTATTCTAGAACATGGGTAGGTTGGTCTTGCCTGATTTCTAGCAGTTGCCAACTACACCCTCTGTAGGTATCCCGAGTGGCAGCCACCAGACCCTCTGTAGCCTTTGCTGTACGCAGGCCCTGCCATGAACCTTGGCACACTCCAACTCCCCGTACCCGTTTCTGGCAACGGGCCCTTGCCTCGCTCCTAAGACCAAGGCCCTTTCTTGTTTGTTCCTGGGCTCTGCTCTATTTGCTCTCTCAGTTCATGGTATCACCTATAGCAGTGATGGCGAACCTATGACACTCATTTTTTTTCGTTGATTTTTCTTTGTTAAATGGCATTTAAATATATAAAATAAATATCAAAAATATAAGTCTTTGTTTTACTATGGTTGCAAATATCAAAAAATTTTTATATGTGACACGGCACCAGCATTTTCAAAATGCTGACATGCCGAGCTCAAAAGGTTCGCCATCACTGACCTATAGTCTTCTTTTCTGAACTCCTGAACTGAGACATTACTCCTTTCTGATCACCACAGCTGTGCTTCCTCTCCTCTCACTCTCTCACTGCTATTTATTTAAATTGCGTGCTTCTCTAGCCATTTCCATGACCTCAGTTGTGCTCCCAGCTTTGCAGCCTTCTCCTGGACTTCTTCCTCTCCCCAGCTTGAACCTGTGGCCCATCATTGATATTTTTATCAGCATCCTGAAATTTCTCATCCCCTCCTATTGCTGAAACTTCTCCATTTGCTGCATCAACCTATTTTTTGCTCCTTCTCCCTGGGCTGCTAAACATGGGAGATCCATAGTTGACAGCCTCAGTTGGTCTCTCAGTATTGATTGGTATAATAATATACCAATCAATACTGAGATTTGACATTATTATTCTGCTTTCAGTCCATGACATTCATCTTTGCTCTCAGCCAATGACTGACCTCTTTGCCCATTTCACAGGAGAGAGGCCCGAAAGCAAGAATGTCCTTGCCCCCTCATTTTTCTCCCCCTCCCCTCTCTCTGTGTCTCTATCCCTCCTCTTGCTCCTGTTTGGTGCTCTAGTTCTTGAATCCTGTTCTGTGTCCTCCACAACTTTGCTCTATTTCTTATCCCACTGCTCCTCTTTCCAGCATCTTCAACCTCCCTTTCCATGGTTACCTCCACATAGCCTCCCCAAGATTAAAAACAATTTCTTAAGAGTGTGTTGCTCCTTACACTTTTATCTTGTCAGCCTCATTCTTTTAAAAATAATCTTTTTCACTGATTTTTCTCAGTCACTCTTCATTCTCTATAGTTTTTCATAAAAGTCACCAGTGACCACCCAAGTTGCCAAATTAAAAAAAATACTTTCAGTTCTCAACTGTTGAATCTGTACAGCATTTCACACCACTCACCACTTTCTCATTGAACATCCTCTTCACTTGGCTTTTACGATACCACAAGTCTCTGGATTCTCCTCTTATCTCTCAGCCACACAGGCTGAGCCTCCCTTGAAACCTTGACAGGGGGACACATCTGTAACTTACTTTGGTCTCCTCTTCAGGAGTTGGGTAGGCAGGAGGAAGCCCAGCTGCTCTGCTCCCCTCCCTCTGTGTCAGCCTCTTTTCTTTGGCCTGTTTCTCCCCCTGGACCCAGTTCTCCTCATGTCAAGCATGTTTATGAGCTCTGCTGGGAGGATAGCATCTGTGAGTCCTTCCATCTGTCTCTTCCTACACAGCACAGAGACAGATTTTAGCCATGTTTGCTAAGAAGTCCATCTAAATCAGCCCAGGAGTGTGGCTTGGGCCTTACCAAGAAGCAGTTTGGTAAATGGGATCATCAGGCTATCAGACAGCTCATCACCATGATCCCTGTACCAGTTAGAGCTTGCCACAATTGGTGAGGATCTTGGGATCATGGTAAACATGTTTCCATGCATGGTTCAGTGCTGCTAGCCAGGAGGAGAATCCTGGCAGTGGGTGTCTGCCCCTGAGAACATTCTGATGGAAGGAAAACTGAGAAGTGCTGTGATTAATTACTTGCTTGGGGCTCAGTTGGGGTCAGCCTAGCCTTCTCTAACCAGGTCTTTCCCATCTGTACTGATCATGACCACCTGCTTGCTCCAGTTGCTAGAGCTGGAAGCAAATTCGGGTGGTTTACGTGGAAGTAGGGAGGTATAGTAAAGAGGTCTGATTTGAGCTGGTGAACCGCTAAGTTTTGTCTGCCAATTATGAGCTGTGTGACCTTGGGTACAGTTTCCTCATCTATAAAGCTGCTCTGCTCCCCTCCCTCTGTGTCGGGCGAGTATTAAAAACAGCAATTTCTCAGAGGTTCACCAACTCTAAAGATGGTAATGGTGATTCTAACTCTGAAGTTCAGGCCACACAGGGAACAAAGGAACATTGGGAGTAGGACACAGGTGGGGATTCTTGGCCAAGGCAGGGCAAAGGGACTTACAGGCCAAACTGAGCTGCTTTGAGGAAAGTCTTCAGTAGCTGGTGCTGCTTCTGGAGCTACATGCCCATTCCTCAAGCTGCACCCCTTTCTTGGATATCTAGGGAGAGTTCCTCCTGGGCCTTGTCTTAGAAGTGGCCATTGGAATCCAAAGTTTTGGTTGGGGGCATGAGGGAGGGGAAGTGTTACTGATCTTAAAAAGACCTATACATTCAAGAACAAATTAAAAAATAGCACTTTTCTTTACTAATAATTGTGTCCTGGAGTGTTTTTTCAGTGAAGGTGGTAGAACATACTTCATGGTCTTCTTGCCCGCAGACTCCAACATCATTATGAACACAAGGTAGGGAAGAATAAACTGGGGAGCCATCTTTCCAGGAAAGAACTGAGTTCTCTGCTTCTTTTATTTAGATAGTTCACAGAATTGTTGGGAAGGCCAGAAAAACAGCCTATTCTTCAAAATACAGGCAGCAAATCTGGGGTGGGGTTAGAGAAAAACACCTTATGAATGCCCCCCCCACTTCTAGGTGCTAAACATTTCATGAATGTGCTTTATATAGTGATGTTCCCCAGTTGCCTAGCCTTATCTCTCCTCTCTGCCCACTCTATACCAGTGGTTTCTAGCCCTTTAGAGTAAGGGCATTGTAATGAATATTTTTCATTCATTTCATCCTATTGAGGGGATTCCCCACCTCAGGAGTCTTGAGAGGCAGAGCTCACTTCTCACTAGAGAAACTAGATATATTAAAGTCTTGATTTCCCAGCATGCCTTGCAGCCAGGCTACAGGTCTAGTGGTAGTAATTTTTTTTTTAAGTGGCACCACAGAGACTTCTCTGGTGGCAGAGTTGGTGGCATCAAGGTGGTGTTTCCACGGCAGCAGTAGCAGCAGAACAAGTTGTAACACCTGGTGCTTGATGGCATGATAGTTTCGTTAGCAGACCAATGAGCTCTTAGTTTAATTTTCTGGCCTTCCCAACAATTCTGTGAACTACCTAAAAAGTATTTTCATAAACTCATTTTCTGCTTAAATTAGCCAGGATTGGTTTGTTTTACTTGCAATTGAGCACCCTACTTGATGTAGAAATCTCAGAGACTCAAAGTCATGGACCCATTCTCTGGGTTCCAGATCCACTTGTCTTGTGGTCTGTTGGACACCTTCGTTTGGGTGTCTCAATGTCACCTGAGACACTAACCATCCTCCAGGGCCCTTAATGTATTCTTACTCGCATATTCCCTATCTCAGAAACCAGGGATGTGGGAAGGTGTTATGCAAAGAGCCGAGGTTCGAGAAAACCCCAGGGTATTGCTTGCTGATTCCAAAGAAGTCACCCAGAGGACTGGCTGTGAAAAACACGGGTTTCTTAGGCTTACGTGCATACCAGTGGTGGCTGGTGGGTGAAGTTCACTGCCACAGTAGGGGTGGCCAGCCAGTAAAGTTTCCACAACTTTCCCAGTACAGGGTTATGTAGAGCACAGAAAACAAAGCAAACAGGACATGCAGGATGATGGTGTGAAATCAAAACACAAGCTGTTTTTCTGCAGTTGCTTACAGTCCCAGTTCACATTCATTCAGAAGCCAGGCTCCCAGTGTCTCACAGTCCACTTGCAGGTGGCTCTCACCATATTACCAGTGTGGCAGGGGGTTGGAGCTTTGGAAGCAGCCCATGTTCCCATATACCATACAGAAGGAAATCAGGGATGTGGTGTCAGAGAAGCCAGAGAAGTCTGTGTTTTAAGGAAGGATGATCAGTACTTGCAGTGCTTAAGATGAGACGTAGAAATCATCGCTGACCCTCCACCCCTACTCAGCCTGGCCCAAGTACCTGAAACCGTTCCCATGCCTGCTCTGAGCTTTCTGCTACGTTTTGTCCTTACTCATTTTATTAGCACCATCCTTCTCTAGGTTCCGGGGGCATATAGCCTCTTTACACCCCACCCCTCATGTTGCAGGGCAAGCTGCCAGAGTCAGCCCACTCCCTAGAGCAGTGATTACGAACCTATGACACGCGTGTCAGAGGTGACACGCGAACTCATTTTTTTGGTTGATTTTTCTTTGTTAAATGGCATTTAAATATATAAAATAAATATCAAAAATATAAATCTTTGTTTTACTATGGTTGCAAATATCAAAAAATTTCTATATGTGACACGGCACCAGAGTTAAGTTAGGGTTTTTCAAAATGCTGACACGCCGAGCTCAAAAGGTTCACCATCACTGTCCTAGACT